CTTTGTTAAGTTTTCTAAAATAAAATGCCTTCTGACTTAGTTATAACACAGTAACAAGTAAGGTTACAAAAAGTGTTCACTGTCTAAGGTCGATCTAGTTATCTAATATCTTAAAAAAAATAGATATAGGATAACACTGTTTACATTAAATACTTTTACTACCTTTATAATTATTAAACTATTTTCTCTTTCACTTTTCAATCTCTAAAATCTATTATTTATAAAAAAAACATCTGCTAAGTTCTTCTTACTTGTAACTTATTTTATATATTAAATGCCTATATCCAATTTCATATATAGTTTTTAAATTTCTCTTGTAATCTCTCTTTGTTATTAAACTGGTTCACTATTTATTATCATTCTTAGTGCCACCTTGTTGTCTATTATCAATATTATTCATAAGTCTTTTAACTAGCTTCTAAATGATCTAAAGTCTAAAGAACAATAACTGATTTAAGTTGTATGATCATATTCACTGTTAATCTTTAAGGCCAATTTTCTGCAATCACTAATTTCTAATACACCTTGCACTAGCCCAATATTGAAGCATCTACAAAAAAAGATTTCATTTTTGAGAATTTCTATACAGATTACTCATTCTATGTTCTCAAATTCTCTATTAACTACCAAATATCTTCTACTGCTTAAGAAAACAAAGCAATATCTGTATCTTAATTATTTCAATAGTAATTTTTTGTATTTATCAATTTGTAAAATTCTAAATATTTTATTTAAGCAGAGGAGAAAGCTCTTGCCAAGCTCTATATCTTTCCTGCAATAGACATTAATTTCTGTACTGAAATGCCCAAACTTCTTTGTAATCTTTTCAGTTACAAAATTGTAGCTGCAGTTTTTTTTTCTAAAGCAATTATTAAGCTTTCTACTGTATTCTCAATTAGGCCACAATATCTTGGTCTTTTTACTGAATTTCAAAATCCCTTTTCTTTTGTCTGAATCCAGTCACAATCCTTCAAGTCTATTTTTATAACTGATCGACATTGCTGCAAAAGAATCTCTTTTAACAGATATGCCATCTATACATCATCTAGGTAATTCTCACAAAATATCCCTTTTGATTTCTAACTTCCAACTATTATCTTCATTATTTTATGAATATCCAAGAAGAGTAACTCAAACCAAAGGCAGCATTTTGTAATAAAACTACCTTTTATTAAAACAAAAATCCAGAAATTATTGAGCTACCTCATTCATTAAAATATAATGATGTCTATCTTTTAAATTAAAATTCATCATCTATTAATTCCTGTCTATTGTTCTTAATAACATCTCTAGGTCTTTGAACTTAAATAACTTCTTGAATAATGTTCTGTTCAATCTCCTAAGGTCTATTACTAGATGAAATCTTTTTGGTTCTTGTTTGGGCATCATAAACATAGGACTTACTATAGCAGTATCTTTAGCTTCAATTTTCCTGTTATCATAAGTTCTATAACATCTGTCTTTATTAATCTTCTCAACTTTCTTTTAATTTATTCCTTCTTTTCTGTAAAAAAAGATCTTGATTTTAGGACTATCTGCATAGCAAGATTTATTACTCTTTTTGGAAAAAATATAATCTCTCTTTCTAGCCATTTTATTATCAACAGAGCTAACTTTATCACTTCCTTCCAATATTTCACTGTTGAAACTTCATAAAACCTTTCTAACACATTCTATTTGTCATAATTCAATCTCATATTATCCTCTACTCTTGTTATAATTATCTTTTAAGCATTGTTAATTCTGTTTTTGTCTTGTGTTATTACCTCAAAAGAACATACTCAAATGCTTTCTAGACCTATATTTATTATTATAATGATTTTTTTTTTCATATAAATAACAAATAATCTTCTTGCCCATATCTAGCTTTCTGTTTGAACCAAAACTTCTAGCTTCTAATATAGGAAAAATTTATTATCCTGTCACAAGTTAAAATTATATAAAAAACTACTTTGTTCTAATTGCTAGTCATCAAAAAAAGGATTTAACTCACTAGCATTCATAATTAGGTTTTGTTGTACTACACCTTGCTGATTAGAAAATTGTTGTCAAGTAAGCAAAAATAATAAATGAGCTTGAACAAATACAGGTGTGAGCAGTTGTCTTTGTTGTAGATTATGCAATATATCTTACATATAACCTAATTGTTCTTCTATTCTTTGACTTTTATCCTAAAATGTTTTTAATTTCTTATTCTTAGAGAAAGTTTGTGTTATCAATCTAATCTTTTTTCTCTTCTCTCCAAAAAGTTAAGACATAGAATCAGCCAAATTGTTGAATATTATTTTTGCAACAACACCTCATCTATTCTCACTTGCACCTCTTATGATATAAGCTCTTTTCAAGCCACCTGCCTGACTAATAGCAAATAATTTACCTCATCTGTGTTTAATATCTTGTTCATTAACATACCAGCTTACACCACTCATTAAACTCCCACTAGTTTCTTACTTTAGACAGATCATGTTTTTTCTATAACCTTATCTCACTCTCTTCAAAATCAACTAATACCTTTTCTTTTTTACAAGACACTTATAAAAACTAAAATCCATCTTGTAAGCTCACTCTAAAACTATTCATTTCTAACTTATTATTACTATTATCAACTCCTGCTAAACTATCACACTTATGCAAATGAGAACCAGCTTTCTTATCTCCATCATCTTTCAGATTCACAACCTTTTTTCTAAACAAACTATTATATAATTCTTTCTTAGTTTTACATTTACTAATCAATTTATTTATCAATTCCTGTTTTAAACCAATGTTAGAAATATCCATCTCTTGACACAAGAATTTCAACATTTCAAGAGATAATCAACCAAAATTTACTTCAAAATTGACTTGACCATGTGATGGTTTCATCTTATTATTTGACTATGTTAAACTATCTTTTTCAAATACTATACCTTTATTTTTCTCTAAACTGTTTGTTATACTTTTTTAAATGATAAGAATACTAGTGCTCGAATTAACCAGAACGAAAGTCAGGTTCGCAGAAAAGACAAAGTTACTTGTTCTTACTTACCCTAACTATACTAATATACAAATCTCAAATTACCTCATACTATTCTAATTACCTCATAGTTACTCCATTACTACATACTACTCAATTACCTCATTCTTACCCAATTACCTTATACTTAATTACCTCATTCTTGCTACAACTAATCGACTAAATCAAACTCTTATCAATGATCGCACTACTAATACCTCAAATTACCACATACTTTCGTTCGATTGATCGATAATCGATAATCGATCGAACATGTGACCGTAATCGGGCCTATCACATGTTCGATCGTCCCACATGATTCGAGACAAAAGCTGCCTCGATACTTACGTATCGAGCAGCTATTATAATTTTGGAATATTTAGAATGGAGTGTTTAAAACAGTTTTATATTGCTTTAAAATGATTTTTACGTTTTAAAACATCACTAATATTGATCATAATGGTATAGTTATGGTTATGATTATAAATTCGAATCTACTGATTTTTTGACAAACTGATGGCATATTTCGGTTAAGAAATAATTACCAATTATATACAGTAATTCCAGTTTCCATCAACGCCATAATCAACAATGTTTTTAAAACATTGTAATAAATCAAGTTAAAAAACGTAAAAATCATTAAAACAGTTTTTTTTTACCATCCCTAAGTTAGATAAAGGTTAAATTCAGCAAATCCTCCGAACTCGGAATCGGGTGTACAAAATACTGTTCTTTCCTTTGAGTAGAATAATAAATCATTATCTGACAAATTCATATGATCATGAATTTATTTCTTGTTATTTTTTCCTGTTCTCAACCGACAGCACCCTGCAAATCATGATTATAAACTGCCAGATACACCATTATTGGACAAACTGGTGAATAACTATAATTTGACAAGTACCGTTTCGTGGCACGTGTCAATCATATCTTCCCCAGGAGAGCCAACAAAATTTTTACCATCATGTGATATTCGAAAAAATTCTTTAAGTTCGTTTATGTTAGGGTTAGAGCATATTTTAGTGTTAGAATTAGGAGTTTAATAGTAAAATCGGTAAAGGAAAACTTATTGTTAATACGCAAAAGATATTTCCTATGCAGATTTTGAGTTATAGGAGATTTTCGGCAAAACGAACGGTTTGTTTTGAATTTTTCTGATCACGTACAGTTACACCAAATTGAGATGCATTATTGGCTTATTTTCGTCGATCATCACGTGATGGTAAAAATTATATAGTAATTTTGTTGGCGATCCTGGGGTAGTTTCACAGACACGTGATTACTATGTGGCGCAAACCAATTATGTCAAACTGCTTAATAAAAAGGTTTCCTTGAACGATTTTACTATATATCATCCTAATGTCTAACAAATCGTCATACTTCATATACACCAAGGTGAATATTATTGTTAATTTGTTTATAAGATTGCTAAATACTTTTGAATTATTATTAATAAATGAATTCGATTAATTGCTTCGTAAATGGCATTAATAAACGTGAAAAGTTGAATGGCGTGATTAATGCATTGTACAACCATGAAACTACTTAACATATATATCTAACATGAATGCGGAATAATTAGGTAACAAAAATGACTATTTAGATATTAAAGGTGTTCGTCCTACCTGAGCTTATGAAATCGATGGATGATATTTGTTTAGAATTCAAACGTTATAGACACTTCTACTTTGGCTTGAAAATCTCACGATAACGAATATCATTCAACTAAATTGCATAGTGGCTAAGCTTCACTAGAATTCCTAAATAACTCAATTTGTTTCCCATTCTTGTTTCATTTGTTTATTTAATATGCTAAAGTTCTTCTAGTTCGAGAATATGATCATATGAAAACCATTATGTAATAAGTAAAATAAAACTTTTATTTTACGAAATAGAGTACCCCATCATTTTTCTAATTTAAAGTTTGTAAATTAATAATCTGAAATACACTTTATTTTGTTTAATTTTGTAACCCCAATTTAATCAAGTAATAGTCAAGGGAGAAGATCATTGCATAATCACCTACGTACATCTCAATGCACAAAAATTCACGATTTATTCGTTTATCAAGCATTTCACTTAGCATTCATATATGTGCATATTTCATGAAACATGTAAATCCTGCTACTATATTTTAAGCATGTTAAGTTATTTACATGGCACAATTAATATATTTATAACACGCAAATTTGAAAGGGATTATCCTGATTATTAAACTATTATGTGTAAATTTTTATCACGAATTTATTAAATTATCTTATCATAAATTGTGATCTATTACATTTTAGCACCATTATATATTTGGCACTTTATAAATACTTAAAATTACATCATCCCCAATTTGCTTTTTTACAACTCTACATAAACGTAATTATATTATAATGGTTCTAACTTGATTTGTTAACATTTGATACCGCCTTTCCGTAAGATGTAAGCTGTCGGAATACCTTTTTAGTTATTTTTATTGGTAATTCTACGAGATTATTCTTAAGTTGATGAATTACGCAACATAATAATAAATATTCACGAACTAAATTTTAAAGACTAAATGTCTCACATTTCATTCTAACTTCATTGCTTTAAATATATTCGGCAATCGCTTTAAGGTGCTTGGAACGATTTACTGAAAATTTTTTAATAAACTGATATTAATCATATTAAAAGATATATTGCTATCGCAATATTTAAAGATGTATTGACTTAAATCACATGATTTATGAATATCACTGATTATAAATCAATGAAAAAACACAATCTCATTGAAAATTTGATGCGTAAAAGTCATAAATTTTTGCAATAGTTAATTCGGCAAGATCTTAGTTTAATTGTATGCGTTTAACTGAAAATTGTGATAAACGCATTAATATCAATCGAGATATATTCGCGTCACGTAAATATTCATATTAAATTATCAAATCACTCGAGTATAAAGTGAATTAATCAAATTATTTTAGTATAAAATAATTCCCTAAAATCACTTTAGTAGTATAAAATAACTTGTTTAAATTACTTTAGTGTAAATAATTTCTTAAATCACTTTAGTATAAAAGTGAATTATTCAAATCACTTTAATATAAAGTGAATTAGTCAAAACACTTCAGTATAAGACAATTTATTCAAATAATTTAAGTATAAAATAATTTATTAAGATCACTAGTATAAAATAATTTATTCGAATCACTTTATTATAAATGGCATATTTGGTTCACAGAGATAAATAATATGTGCATCTTTGATTTAGCAAGATAAATATGACCGTGAAGAATTATTCTCATAAAACTCCTAAAAGGAAATATTACCTAATGACTTAATTGGTTACATGAATATGTAACATTTACTGTTGAATAAATATGAAAATAAAGCTTAGAACGGGTTAATATTAAGAAATAGATTCATGACACGTATTGCACCTTCCTTTGCATTAAACTTATAAAGTAATCCGCGTTCATTCAAGTTATTGGTCCTTATTTATATAAATTTTATACTAACATCTCTCTTCATAGTTGCAAAAAAAAAAAAAAACCACGGATATCATCAGTAGATTTCTTATCTTGCTTACCCCTTTGGTTCGTGATTTGTTCGGTTTTTATGCTATATTCTGTCCCATATCGTTCCGAGATTTGAAATTGACGTGATCTTATGCTCCTTTTTTGTTAAAATTGATAATTTCAAAGAATCTTAAAAAACCAAAAGGAAAAATGACTCCGAAATCTTTAAAGTTTACAAAATTGAATTGATACTTACGTTGTAAGCCACTCTATATTTGAGTGGCGTACTTATCATAGCCAATCATGTCGTCGAATTTCCAACTTGCTCGAAGATCGCGCCACTTTAAATAAACTCGTGAAACAGTCTAAAATTAGAGACAAATTTAAATGAGCTTCCTAATTGAATTTGTCCATGATCTTGTAGTTCTTATGCATTCATGGTGAATGCTCAACACTTCGCATATTACATACCGCCATTCATCATTCCTACGCCTTGTCAATTTAGTTGATATAACTAGTTTAGCTCTATTATCATATCTATATTCGTTTTTATAAATATGTCCGAATATGGAGGTTGCTTAAAGCCTTATATCGATATGGTATTTTATATTGTTCACGCGATTTTTATTTAAAATTCAATTCATGAAACTACAAGGATTAACCCGATCTCCAAATATGTTCAATTAGTACTCCTTTAACGCCGAAGCCGTTAAGCCCTGTAAATCATTTATTTATAGAATCATACACTAACGTAGTCGGCATAACATTAAAATTCAATAATGGTTGATGCGATATTTGGAAATATCTATACTGGTACCCGGGCATGTTGTACTTCCAATCAGATACTGACAATTGTTTATATCTGATTGTCATCCAGCATTTCTTGAATGCGGCCAGGTCTTGGCATAGTAACCAGCCTCATCAAAGTACAAAGCTTATTGTAAAATATCAGTGATTTCCGTTTACTTCCGGCTCGACTTTTCATTAGTCGGAAATTTTACATTACCGTTATCATTTTTCGCAAAAATATATTTTTTTTATTGACCAGAAAGTGATGATGGTGAGAAATACGTAGAAGAGGTGTCTTAAATCTTCTTAAAACAATGCAAAGAACGTAGCTGTAATTGTTACGCTTGGTCCTGTTAGATTTGAATATCTTGCAAAATATGTGAGAGAGCCCTTTTTTAGCTAATAGTCTTAAATATCATCGCCTTCATCTTGAATTTATTTTTAATGGAATGGAAAAACTCCCCATCAATACATATTAAGAATTTTGTTAATTCTTATTATATTTAAAT